GGAAAAAATCCTGAAATCATGGTACAGGATAAAAATTGTATGCCTTTTTATTGGGGCGAGTTAAAAAATAATACACTTTTAAAAAAAATTTCCATCTCACTGCTTAGCTCTAATGCAAACTTTATTTCTGCCACTCTGTCACTGACTACTTCTGTGGCACAGGCAGCTCTCTCTTAACTTACATAGGTCTTTAATTTTCCTAACCTACCAAAAGGAAGTGGCATTTGTCATATATGTTAGGCCAGAAGTTCAGAAGTGCTAAAGCAGCTACTAGTAAAAGCTCAGATCAGCCAAACTCACTTCTTACAAGCCAGTGGACAAAGTTTGGGGCTTAAAAGATGGGCAGCTATTGTATTACTCATTTTGTGTCCCAAATGAAAATCCAAGAACACCTAAAGGATGGTCAGCTCAATTCAACCTAGAAAATACAAAGAAACGGAGGGGAGTTGCATATGGGTCTGTGGTGCCTTCAAGAGGTACTGACCCCTGTCTCCACGGGGCCACAGTTCCACCACGGCATCCTGTCTTTTCTGTAAGGAGGACGCTACCGCAGGGGCCTCAGCGTGTAGCATCGTGTGAAGATGTAAGGCTGGTGATGGGGTGATAAAGCCATGGACAGCCTCAGCAGGTCTATGGTAAGGAAAGATGTTATCTGCGTGCCGGCCATGCTTAGTGCATGCCTACAAAAAGACACTGGCTTTTCTCTGTACTTACTCTAGGTTCCCAAATGTGAGAGCAAACACTGAGTTTTCATTTCAGTAGCCTGCTCTGTAGCAACTCTGTGGCTTCGTGTGAAAATAAACATAGCAGAAGACATACAAAACCTGCATTGTACACTCTATCTGGTAAACAATGTCTTTGGCTCTCTAACACTGCCCTGGCATGGCTTTTGAACTACTCCGAAGAAAATACCTCTGATATTTCTTGTAACATCTGTAGTAGTCCCTTTCCTTGAGTAAACAAAGTAGGTGCATTGAAAAGTTACAAACCTCATCCAGTAACAGAATGAGAGCATACAAGATTATAAACAGCTGATTTCCAGAAAGGGGGTGATTCTGATATTAAACATGCAGGTGAAGGATCTTCCCAAAGGTTATTTTCCAGTAATTAAAAACTATGTTCAGTACTAAAGAAAAAGGGTATTGGAGGAAAAAGAAGGAAGATGGTGGACTGAAAGGCAGGAGCTGAATGATAACCCTGGGATAAGACTCAGTGAATCCCTGAAATGGGGTTAGCAGATATGGAAAAAATAAATATGGCATAAAAAGTTCCTATTTTTTATTTTGAATGGCTCCTGCTACCCAGAAAGAAAATTTATGCTCATATAAGTATGAATAAATTATCTCCTGTGGTTTACTGGAGATGTCACCAATGGGATTGTAAAAGCCCTGTTGGGCCAGCTAAGACATTGACTCTAGTCACCAAGACCTTCACCGGGACTGCATGCGCCCAGGAGACACCCCTGTAAGCCTGAAACCATCTCGGTTGGGCTGATGGGAGGTTGTGACCTCCTGGAGGGATGGTCCATGTGCTGGGCGAGCTTACCTTTGACACAGGCCTGAACCTGCCCGTACCACTCCCCACAGCTGTCGCAGAGCAGTGTGAACGCCGTCTCCTTGTTGCCCATGACATACCCCTGGGCGCAAACATACAGCAGCTCGTCGCCCATTTCAAAGCCAGTGTGGCCATGCAGGATGGTGTGGGGGAAGGATGGTGGGTCCCCACAGGGCTTCTCTGAAAGGAAAAAAGAAATGAAATTGTAATTGGCTAAGTTACCCTGAGGACAAACTTACACATGTCCACAGAACTTGTACATCTCATCTGATTCACATCCTTATCCTGCTTCATAACTATTTTCAGCTCTAATTGGGAAGGTGTATATTGGGCTATAACTGTGATGTGATGTTACTGACATGTAACAGTGATGCATCTAGAGGGGCTTTGTTTCCAACAAGTCAGCCCAGGACATCAAGCTACAGCTATCTTCTCTGCCTGCTTCTACAAAGGCTAATAAAGGCTTGGGTAGGTTGGGACTGGAAAGCAAAAGCTTGGACACAGTCATTTTTCTTAACTGCAGAAAAGCTTGTGAAATTGTTAAGACCGGCACTTTAATGTCTACTACGCTGTAGCAAGCACGCAGAGGCTGAGCAATGACCCAGTCCACATTCACAGAACGAAAAGGTCCGGGTAGACATCAGTCATTTTTCAGATTATCTCTAGTCTTCTAGTCTTTCTCAAAATCAAAAAATTCTTCCCAGATACTCAATTTTCCCCTATTTTAGGTTAGAGACACCCTAAAATAAATGGTGACTTGTGCTCTTCAGTGTAACAACACCCAAGGGTAACACAGCCCTGCTCTCCGTGAGAATCTGAAGAGCTAAATTTATCAGGATATAAAATCTAACAAGATGTTTGATAATATTTCTGCTGACAGCACTAAAAGCCAGAAAGCAAAAATTACTATAAACAATAACAAAACTTATTTGAGTTTTTTGTTGCATGAAAGAAATGCAGAGAGGAGGAAAACAGACAGTTGCCAGCACCAGTGTAAACTGAATTTTAACTCTTTTTTTTCAGGTTTCAACAATCTTGGCTGTGTTTAACAAGGTGGGTCAAGATCTTCTAGAGAGCTTTTAGGTATTGGAGCTTTTCGTCTCTCAAAGGTCTTCCTCTCAAAAGTGCTCTTCAAGAGGGGTTTGCTATGTCCCTTTTCTGCCAGATTTTTCACAGTCCCTTTTGGAATGGATATCTCTTGGTGACAGAAAAACAAAACAAACAAAAAACCTATAATGCAAGAACATGATTTTACTAAGAAACCCAATGGACAAAGTGTGCAGTGTTGGTACAAATAAACACTTCTATTGTTGGTACAAATAAACACTTCTATATTCTTTCTCAAATCTGGGATTTTTTCCGTTGGTTCTAGAACCTGTGGTGACTGTGGAAGAAAACCCAACTGTTCCACCTGCCAAAGTAATTCAAGATTCAAAACTTGCTTTTGTCCTAATACAGAACAACCAAAAATTAAAAGACTAACAGGTAATAGCTCAGGAGTTCTGGTAATTATATTGGATAAGGTAAGCTTAGGACCAGGTCTATGTTCTAGTATTGATCTCTCCTATTGAAACAGTTCGCCTTGATACAAAAACCTAATTACTTAGTTGGCTAAGCAAAGATTATGTTCCTTGGAAAGACTTTTGTTTGGAAGCTGAAAAAGTGACCTCCAAGACTATACTTCTAAACATGCAGAAGAAGAAACATCTTCAGAGAGCACCCTTGCTACTTTGCTGGAGTCTACTTTTAGGACAGCATCAGCACAAGATCTTATAAACAACATTTCCATTGACACCAGTTCACTTCCAGGGTTTTCAATGGGTAATATTTTCAACAGAAAAGCTTTTTTTCAGCCTACTTTCCGCAAAAGTTCAGGTTTTCCTACTTTTTCCCCTGGGACATAGTGCAAGATCCTTGTGAGTCCCGTCTGCAGCTTTTCCCATCATGTACCCACTTCTGACCCAGGCATAGGTAAATATATGTTTATTTAGAAATACGATGTATTTATGTTGCCAGTTGTTTACCTCGTAGTAAAATGAACACCCCAGGATAAACATCCATGCTCTGTGAAAGTTCTTTTGGATCAGGATTTTAGAAATTGTTTGATAGACCTGGCTAACCACTTCTCAACCGGGTATGCTGAAAAACATCTGCCACTAATTTAAGGGACACACTACTGAAGTCAAAGCTTTGAAGTCTATTCTCTGTACTGTACACATACGTATATGCTGTCTGACACCTTCAGAAGTTAGAGGGAGTTATGCACACACACACTGACAGAAAAAACAAGCTCTTGAGGCTACACAAAGCTCAGTTTATGTACAGTCTTATGGAGGCTTGGCGTCCGAGGAAGTGAGGAGCAGTTAGCAGCTAATGCCTTTCCTGTGAACTGGTCGGATGAATAGAGATTGATGTGGATGAAAGGAATAAAAAAATATTTTATTGCCTCATAGGAAGGCTACAGACCCCTGCATTTCATGTACTTTATTTATGCAGCTCCTTCCATCGGTACAAATGGGAGCTGTGTATCTGCTCTGAGGGAAGTATTGATACCAAGGCTGTATGGGACAATTATATATGTCAGAGGGTATTCTTATCTACAAAGCCTTGCTTCTTAATCCTGTGGCCAGAGGAAGCAGAAAAGTAACACTTACATTAGTTAAATATGGCAAGCACATTCAAAAAGCACATTATGACCTTCCAGGAAAGAAGAAAGTTGAAGGGAGCTTTACTGTAAAATTTGGCAACAGACGTGGCAACAGGGAATTGCGAGATCCTGAAAGGAGATCTGGCTGATGTGTGAATAGAAAGAAAAGCAGAGATTTTAAAGATGTTCATGGATGAACACTGCATGGGGAACTTTTGGCTCTCTCATATGAGACTTTGTAAGGTCATGTCTTTCCTGCAGAGCATATTGAATGACAGCATGGACAAGCATAAGTGAAAGCTGATACCCTGCAAAGATATATTCAAGTTCCTACATCCATTTTGCTGCTGTCCTCTCCTGTGTAAGAAAGACGTGCAGGAATTTTCCGGGTTGCAGCATCTTACAGCTCCTTGTCCTGCTGCAGTCTCAGTTGCTATGACAATTCTTGCTCAGCCTTTTGCCAAACCTGTTCTTTCTGGTACACGTACCGAAGTGACACCGGCACAGCAGCTCATCAAACTGAGCCACTTCTGGGGACAAGCTTCAGGTTTTTGTCTGCAGCCTTTGTACCAGGAGCTGGCAAAGCACGGGCTTGTTTGGAACAACAGCCTGTGCTCAGTGCTGGCATTCAGGCCATTTTCATGCTGGAAGAGAGGAGGCAGATCTGTGCCACGAAGCGTGACAGAGGGTGTGTTGGCAGCAGCTTGTCATGTAGAGGAACAGTAGAGCTCTTTGTTAAGGCGACCACAGGAGTTGCCTGCAGTGGTGACGCTGGTAGATGAGGACTGGACTCCTCCAGTGCTGAACTCTCCATCTGGAGCACTGCTTTTCCCCTCATCTGTCCTCCCATAAACCAGCATATTTTCTTCGTGCTTGCTAAAAAATGAGCCCAATGCATGTTTCCCAGTAGAAGAACCTGATGTGATTGATACTTGGGCCCCATCCAGCAGATCCCATGCTTTGCCTGCTTGTGTTCGAGATCACATCTCAAACTTGGAAACTTGGAATCCAGTTCTGGACATCATGACACTTCCTGAGTTTGCCACATATTGACAGTGAGGTCAAACACCTAACAAGGCTCCATACATTGATAGCTGACCTCCAGTGAGCAAGGATGGTTAGGTTACACAGCGAGACAGCACCGCACAGATATAAGGCAATGTGGAAGTACACGGAAGATCCTCATACCAGAATAACTTTAACTCCAAACCATGTATGGAAAGGAGTTTGTGACAGGAGATTTCTGGCAAAGAGTTGACACGAGCCACTTTAAGAACACAGCACTCCTCCTCCCCAATCCAGATTCCTCCAGAAGCATCTTCTTGATTTAAACTACAACCATCCCATCAGTTTGTAAAGATTTTTTTTAGATGTCTTGATAAAATACTTTCTACAGAAAGGACAGCCTAAGATCAATGCAAAAAAACCATCAACATTAAAAAGATGCAGACTTCAGCTTCCACGTCACCTGGCAGAACTGGGAATCTACTGAAATCTGATTATCTACAATTGCTACTTTAACTGTGTACCATGCTCTGAAAGCTGACATGAAACATCCTCTTTGACGTAAAATATCCCCTGTTACAACCACCCAATTCAGCAGAGTTTTTCCAGAGAGACCACTGGAATTTATAGGATGTCATCTCATCATTAAGAAATTGGAAAACGCAACTCTTAATGCTCAGCCCTGTGAAAGATGAGTGTGGATGTTTGTTTTTCTTCTTGATTGCAGAGACACTAAAGTATATGGAATTTTTCTTTTTGGATAAAAATACTGAGTACAAATAGAGTACAAAGAACTAAAACTCAATCATAGCCAATATAAGTGCTGCTTGTAAGCTACCAATGTTAGGATGCCAATACGTCTTTCATCAGATAGGGCTTGTAAGAATTTATTAATTTAAATGACATCACCAGGCAGCTAGAAATTCACTGTCAGCTATATGCAAAGCTCTGGAAGAGAAAGCTGTAGCAATGAAAAAATTAAAAACTTCATATCCACAGCAAAGCATGACAAATACAAAGAAATGGTTCAAATATTACATAAAGCAAATTGCAGTTTGATTGCTCTTGTAAAGCACATTTAATATATTTGCTAATTTCTTTTTTTCTTACTGCTGAAAAAGGCAAACTATGTACATAAGCCATCAAGCTTTGATGGGTATCTGGAGCCAGCAGTCATGTTTAACAAAGTTTGATTTGCATTTATGCTGTACGCTACTACAAGTTGCTGCCTGTTTAGTTTTTCTACGATGGCAGCAAATCAAAGCCTTATGGAACAGAATTCTTACTTGTTGCCTGTAAATATCAGTGGGTCACCGAAAGAAAGAACCAGTAAAACTTTGGAACTATTAACAAAGAGATCTTTCCTTTGTTGCATTTAAAAAAAAAAAAAACCATACAAGAAAGGGAATCAAGATTCTATATATATGAAATTGAATGGTATGTGGTCCTACAAAAAAAAAAAAGACTAGCAGGAAAAATTTCAGCTTTTTATTTTTCTTGCTTTATCTCTTTTATACTTTGAGACATTTTCTTATGAGCTTTGATAGAGAATAAATACACACTCTGTGGGCCAGATCTGACTTAAGCGTGATACTCCGTTTTCAGAATAGGTAGAAACTATTATATTTTTAGGTAATTTTTGGCACTCAGAGCTAAGAGAGAAACTTTCTGATCTCAGCAGATTCTGAGCTGGTACAGAGTTGTTTTGCTGACTTTAATGGCTGCATAAAACATTTGTTTACAAGAAACTGAGAAGATACAGTTCTCTGTACTGCAAAACCTGCAGCTATACTCACAGTATTCATAAAATATTACAGCTACATCTTTCCCTGTCAAACATAACTCTTAGTACCAATTCCCTGTAAAACATAACTCTTAGTATCAAAGATTGCTGTGATTCTTCTGTGTGTACAGAACAAAATCAATTTCAGAAGCACAAAAAAAAAAAAAAGGTCTCTCTCTCTTCAGGATTTTTATGTGTAAAAGCCTGATCCTGTAAGCACACCCAGAGCTCTTGGTAGCATCTCACCACTGCCCTGGCTGTTGAGGCACGCTGAGGTGTATGATGTCATACAATTCAACTGAACTCATGCACATGTTAATGGTTAATTGAGTAAAGATTAATTACAAATCAAGGTCTAAGAAGGGAATTTTGCAATGGTTTGTACTAGAAGTTTCACGGTGGTTCGAGATGCCCTTTGCACAACCCTAAGAACTGAAAGTAGAGTTGTGAAGAGTTATTATCATCAACTCAGTTTCTGAAGAAGAGAAGGCTGATGTGACTGTTCCCTCTGTCCATCCTCAAGCTGTCAGTCTGTCTGAGCCTTTGGCTGATCTCAACCAAGTCTGAGAAAGACGGAGAGCTGCTGAGTGTCTGCTCATTTTGGTAAGGCGAATTTAAAAGAGGAAAGGGAAAAAGCCAGGCATCTTTTCCATTGGGATGGGCACAGGCAGGACTCAACTCTTACCCGTTCCCACCATCACTGCTGGCCAGCTGATCGGCACTGTATATGGGCAGAAAAACCAGCATATTCATACTTCTAAGGCAGCCCCAGCACATGCGGCCCCCTGCCCAGCCATCCATGCCCAGACCCAGCAAGGAGCTGAGAGTGCCCTGAAGGTGGGGAGATGACAGGTAGAGGGTGAGGTGAAGAAATACTGGAGAAAGAACCAGATGAATTTCATATGGGACTGCAGATTATTGGTTGGATGGATATGGAAGAAATTAAAGGGATTTTGGTTATTGTGCATGGGGACATAGGTCTCAGCATAAGATATCTGGTATTTACCACTTTTGGCAGGGCAAAACAACTTGCTTTTTGCACTTGATTGCAATACACAGGTCTTAATATTTATGTATTACTGTATTACAATTGAAATTGTATCAATTAAAAGTAATGTCCACTTTTCTAAAAGGAAAAAAATACTTGGGACGTTTCAAGTAAGAAACAATTCATTAATCATAACTTAGACACGTGGTTATTTGTCACATGTACAAAAGAGCAGAACAGATATGCTATGTCTGAGGCTGTGGTGCAGGGTTCCCTGTTGCTGCTTCTTACTGCATATTTACTTCCCCAAACTGAGAATGGCATCCCTGAGGTGTAGGATGTTCTTTCGTTAGTCAACTGCTTTGTGCTGGCTTACGTGTCACTGTATGTTACATTTGCATGTTAAGGGTATTACCTTTCTGGACTTTGCTCTTTTCATACCAACTACAGACTAGGCTCTGCCACACGACTTCGCTTAAGCCTTTTGCAAAACATTGACTCTGCATCCAAAATGTTTTATATATTCAAAGAAGAGGGGATCTTATTGTCATCCAGAAATGTTTCTGCGTGTAAGGACTATTTGGTGAGTGCCTTTGCATGATATCCCACTCTGTCATCAGGAAACTCCCTGCCTAGTACAAAACAAGTTGTTCATAAATTGTCTCTTCTTTGCAAACGATCTGAATTTTCCCCTGTTTTTAACTATGCACTTTCTGAGTCCTATGTAGTAGTCCTTTCCAACAAGCATCATCAGACGACGTCCTTATCTTCACCTTTACTGCCCCTTTACCACGAGCGGTAACCAAATTCAAAAGGCAAATACAGTTCCTTCCTCGAGATCCAGCATCTACGTGTAAGCTCAGACGCAGCAGGTGGAGACGGGCAGGGGAGTACAAGGGCACAATGGAACAACAGTGGCCAGAGCAATGATTTCAACATCCCACAGCTGTCCCACCCACTGCAAGGTTTTTCTCGAGGGGGGGGACAATGACAAAAGGGAGATTTGAAGGAAGACAATGAGAGAGTTTTGCAGATGTTTACAGGGAGCTGCTCCTATATGTGAGGAGCAGCATGGAAGAAAGCACAAAGGTGCTTGTGTGACAGCATTAGCAAGTGGATGACGGAGCTGGCATCGCTCATAGCGGCACGGAGCCTGGAGTTGATATCATGGGAGTTTACTTGAGAGGATGGTCAGGCAAACTGCAATTTTTGAATGACTGAGTGTGCATCAAATATGCATCACCTCTGCCACAATTCAACTATATTTTCCTTCCCACTGCTGCCACCGACCATTTATCCAAATGCCCCCCTGTGTTGTGAACTTATTGTTTCTCAGTAAATGCCATCTGCTTGCCCCTGCTTTTCTTGGAAACAAGATGCGAAACTTCACTGCAGATATCAACAATCTATTTTAAGGGTTCCCAAACTTCTTGAACACAATCCTGCCTATCAGTAACAATTTACTTTTTGCCTTCAGAATCCATCTTTTCTTGTGGGTTCTGGCATTTGAATATCAAAAAGTTTCAGCATGAACTTAAATTGGAAATAATTTGGTTTTCAGAATCATCCATGATATATCGAAATCCCTAGCAGGCTGTTCTATACTTGTTAACAAAAAAAAAAAAAAAACCCCAAAAAAACCCCCAAAAAAACCCCAAACCAAAACTCAAATGGAGGCAATAAAGTTATTTGCATACAAATATATACTGATAGATATGCAACAGCGTGGTGTTTTGCAGTTGGAAGCCAGCTTTCTGAGTTACATTCAGTTACAGTGCTGAATATGGGAGATGCTTCAGGTATCTGTTATATTGGTGCCAGATATATTCTTTCCCATAAACTATATTCTGTGAACACCAAAATGGGTTCTTCCAGATCAGTAGTGCTGTTTGAACTTGCTAAACTGCAGCAAAGACAAAAGATAATGCAATTTATTTCCTGCAACCAATGTCTTTGTAGCAGTTGGCTCATTTAGTGGGTGATTACTATAAAGATTTATTCCATAAAATGCCCTCTTTGCCTCTGAGTAGTAGAAAAATTGAAGGCAAAACTTTTAATGTTGCAAGACAGCTATGACTGTGCATTATTTCAACAGTATATTAGTGCTGACCTTCATCCTTTACACAAAAAGCATCATATTGGTCATTCACAAAGGGATCGGTTTCAATTTTAACATCAATGGCTTTCACGCTCTGCTGTTTGCTGCCCGTCTTTCTGCATATAATTGTCCTAAAATAAAGAAGAAGAAGAAAAAAATAATCAGAAATCTTCTGGAGTTGTACATGCAGGTGAAATTTGGAGATCTTCCAAGACAGTACTCAGGCTTTAGCCTCAGCTTAACTGTTGAAGAGTTGGCACATAAGACATTAGTGTGGGAAGATCTATGAAAAAAGCCAAGGGAGAATTAGAAGTAACTAAAGAAATGTTTGCTGTAGATCAGTTGAAGACATAGGAAGCAATAATGAATGTTGATCTTCTTATATTCTGTAAAACTTCTAAACATCTGACCAAGTCCCAGCGTATTTAAGGCCACATTCTGCTCTGATATTCCAGCAATACAGATTCCCACCAATGGCACCTGGATAAAAATGAATAGAAAACTCAAGATTTGGTCTGAAAGATTATCAATCATTAGCATTTTACATTAAAAGACCATTAAGGCTGGATATTCAACTGCTTAAAAGCTAAAAAAAGGCAAGCTCAGAAAATTCATCTTGAGTTTTTGGAAGAAAAACTGCTTTTTCTTTTTTTTTTAACAGTAAATCCACACTTTTCTGTAAACTCCATTTCTTCCGGCTTGGTACTCAAGCAGTACCTAATCCATCCTGTTGCCCTTCACAGACCTGAATAAAGGCAATAAATCTGTATTTGGTTTTACAACTCTGTAGATGCTGACCATGAAGGAAGAGATTACTAATTATCTCTTCTCTCAGCTCTACTGGCTGCTTAAAACTAACAAATAGAAGACAGTTTGTTGTACAAAACACTGGTTTTACTGTTACACTGAAGGTTACAAAGGCTGGGAAAGCAAATTCAGCCCAAATTTTTGCAGCTGGATATTAATGGTGTGGGATTTATATTTTGTGGACAGCAGGTTTGTAAAAGTGTTGCATGGTCAGCTACTCTAGCGAAAGCAAGAGACAAAAATGCTTTCCACAGAGGAATCATTCCAGTGGAGGAAATTTATCATTTTGTATTGTGCAATGGTTGAACTAATTTTGCCATCAGTCCCACACTCAATTTGAGGAATAAAATAAATGTTGACTAACTGCCCATTCACTGAGCATGGAAAAGATCCAGTGGAAACCCAGTATTTGATCATGCACTTAAATACTATATAACAATTGATTTACACAAGTGGGCTGAATTATGATTGTACAGACCATCTTCATTCTGGCATGTGTTAGCTTTTGAGCAGTTAAATATGCAACTTTAATGTTCTTTTAATGTAAACAAGCAAAAGCAACATGAAATAAGCCATATGGTGGTGGTCACGCATATGTACCAGAATGGTTCCTACCACACTTCAGGTCTGGAAAATGACATGATGTCATCCTCTACTGAAAGCCTTTTTACGATTTCAAATCCAATCTGTTTCTTTTGTAAGGAAAACAGCCCTTGATTTTTTTTTTGGGGGTGTCACTCGAAGAACGATATTCTCCATAAAACTTTAAAATCCAGTTCTCTTAGAATTTAATGCATTTAAAGTCTGAGTCCTCTAAGTAATAATCAGGCACCTAGACAAAAGTGACTTGATCTACCAAAACTAGTTCAGATGACTGGGAAAATCAGACAATCATTTAGAAAAATTTTGTGTGCATTCACATATCGTTCCACCAGGTCTTACAAGGCCTAAGTGAATGAAAAAGTTATGCCCCCCTTCAAAAAGTGACTTACCAACCTTAATCTTTCCAAGAATTACTCACCTAAGTACCTGGATCGGCTATGCCTTGCAACACTGAGTGGACACGTACTGACATGTCTTTAAAAATTTGTGCCTTTTGCCTGTAACTGTGTACTTAAGACTTCAGACTCTCTTAAAAAACCAGTTTTGAAGATCATTGCCATCATAAAATTCTGGTCTCTGAAAATCAGGCCACATTCCTTTCTATGCTCAATCAAGGAATAAAATTCCTGATACATGGAAGCCACTTTTGAAAAATCTTATCTTGAATTTTCTGATTACTAATTCCAGTTTCTAGCCAATATATTTCGCTTCTGCCCAAAGCACTGTAATTTCTTTATCATTTCTTCAGTAGGCTAAAAAGTTATGTGTGGGTGACACATCCTTTGTATATTCAGGTCATCTCCAAAACAGGATACCTGGCTCACATGTAAGACTGTGTATTCGAAGAGCAAATTTTTCTTACTTTTTTTCCCCCAAGTATTGTACAATGAATTACAAGTTTGTAGTTGATAGAATATATTGATTAGTTAATTAATTTTAAGAGCATTTCTTAGCTGCTATCAAATGAGACCAAACTTACAAAGGCCTATCTTGCATACAGTTTTAGTATTATGCATAAAGGCTTTAAATGACATTAATATTTTAAAATGTATTTCTCACTAAACTTTTTTCCTACATGAAGTTTAAAAATTGCTCTTCCTGTCTAATTCTTTTTTTCCTACAACAGACTAGATAGACCCTGGTCAAACTCCTACTTAGGACTTTAATTTGGATTTTTGTTACATAAAAACTGATCTGATTAAAACTGCAAACATTCTAATGTAATTCTTCTGAGATGAAAGAGATCATGTCTTGTACACACGCAAAAAATAGAAAAAAAAAGAAATCTATTTCATCTCTCTCATTCCTCTTTCTCTGTCAATAGTTTCCTACCACGAGCTCAATCCTGCAAGCTCTAAACATCTTCAGTAAGCTGTTATTACCGCTGCTCTAAGGAGCTTCAAGAGTGTTCAGCATTTCTCAGTAGTGGGTCTAACGATCAGACCTGCAATGCCTTTGGGATAGAAATAGTCTTTTTGCAGTCAGTAAGACTCCAGGTGTGATTAAAAATATACACTAATAGTCTCTTTTCTCTGAGTTCTTGAGGGTGGGTGTATGTTTCCCTAAATCCTAAAATGCTAGGTTTGCATCTATAATTATAGATTAAATACATAGGTACACTTTTGTCTCAGTTCTAAAAGGTAGGTTTTGATGCTTTTAACTTTGTTACATTTTTCATTTGCGGACCAAAAAATGGCTATCAGTTCAGAATTCAACATATTTTAATATTTCTTCAGCAGCAGTATTGCCATGCTGAAATAAGAAACAAAAAATCATACATTTTTCCTACTCTTTCCAGCACCTCGCTCTGAGAGGTTGTGGAAATGTGTCACCTAGTTAATTTATTTATTATTTTGAATTGCTGCACTGGGGCATGCATCATGGTTGAGAGAATGCCACAAACTTTATACATTTTTTTTAGGGATACATCCACCTACCCCGCCATTTAGAAGAATGTAGTCATTCAGGGAAGTTTAATTCTATTTATTGCTACTTCCATGTAATAATTGAACTTAAACAGACTTGCTCATTACTCATCTTAGCATACATTTTAATCTGATGCTTAGAGCACTGTAATGCATGATTTTGTACCTTGTATTTAAGAAATAGATGTGATTTTATTTTTCCTCTATGGAGATCTCTCATAAAAGTACATATGCTCAGAAGAAACATACTGAGTTCAGACTGCAGACCATCCATAATAATCCCCTATATTTAATACGTATCTGCTTCCATGCGTTCCATCCATGCGTTCTTGAAAATTACTCTGACACGGCCATGAACTCACAATCACAGCACAAAAATTAATTACACGTGCTATAGTACTATAGTAACTATAGACCACGTAAGTTGCTTATTCCATCAGTCAGGTAAAAATATGGTTGGGAAAGGAGACGCTTTAGTGGTGTTGACAACAGCCCCTGCTCTCAGATGGAAAGTGGGAGGGTGCCTGATGGTGTCTCCTTTTGTTCCTTGCCAAGCCAAGCCAAAAACTACTGATAATCTTCTCACTCCACTGCCACCCAGCCTAGAAGGACAACCTGCTTCATGATGCCTCTTCTCCTCTCAAGTGAGAAAAGAAGAGACCACAGAGACTCTGCACTATGTTGAACCTCAGCTTAATTTCTGCTGTACGATATGATTCATCCAACTAAGAACAATTAACAGTCCTTCCTCTGTACCTACCCCAAAAGAAAGATCAGAGGTTGGCCACGCTGATTGTTGTTTTCCTGTGCCATGACTGAGATATTGCATTTATCATGTGCATGCATGAAGAGAAAATTTAATATATAGTACAATAAGATATGAACCAGACTTCTTAGAAGACTTCCACTTACTCTCGCACTGGTTAATTTTTTTCTAATCTATTATGTAATCAATGAGTAATTGGTATATTTTGTACTTCTTCTAACTCCTCTGTTCAAAGAAGGAAATAGCAGAAAACCTGGCATGAATAGTATTTATTTTACAATATGCCATAATATGCCATTATGTAATATATATTATTAAATATATCATAATGATGTACTCAAGGCATAGTAATGATACCTAATTTTATATATTGTGTATATTCATGTATAATAAAGATATATATAATAAAGACAAAATATTTATGTATAAATTATAAATTT